TTCTATGGGTATACTTGTTCTTTGTGGATGTTGTCTTATTCCCTGTGTCTGAGGGTTGGTGAGAAAGGAGATGGAGAAGGTGGTTTCCCAACAGATGGTGAGATATTGCCCAATCCCGGACTCCGACCTAAGGAATGAAGGATATGACCTACCAGGCTTGGTGGAGTGACACCTTAGAGGGTGTCTAAAGGGGGCCAAAATGTACTTCCCTGTTTGTGTTTTATGTTTTAATAATCTTGTGTTTTGTGTTCTATTAATCCTGTGTTTTATGCTTTATTAATCAAGTTAACCATTGTGAATGTTTGTCTTTCCTTATGTGAAGGTTTGAAGTTCCTGGGTGGCTGGTAGCCAACCTAGTACCAGTTGGGTGTAGATGGAAGGACTGAAGTCCTTTTTATTATCATTATTGCCTATTAATAAAAGTGTGATTCTTGAGTGACACCCTGTGTTTTCTTATTTTGGGTTCACACCCAGTGGGTGTGAAAAGGGGGGATTGTGGGGATCTAGATGTGATGACTAGCTTAGAAATAATGCATTAATGATTAAACATAAAATGTTTGTACTGTACTGATATAAATTGTTTCTCATAACAAGCTGTGATTCATGTGAGGAATGTTAGGGAGTAGGGTGAGACAGACTTGTATTTCTCACAGAAACATACACACTGCCTCTTTGTTAAACCATCATACTCAAGGACATGTGTACTGCAAAAAGGTGCTGACTCTACAGGGTGTGATGATAACAACTTATGCCTGGCAACAGTGTGCAACGGTAAAGTGCCAAGGGGCTGGGACCAGCCTGTGCGCCAACGGATAGGCTGAGTAAGTCTAAACCACGCTCAGTCTCTACTCTGATTGGCCAGCAGGGAGCGGGAACTATCTCTGTCCGAGTATTTTAAGAAGAACTCATAACAATGGCTTAGTTCTCTGAATGCCCTGCGTGGTATTTCAGTGGACCTGTATATACGAACATCATATTTACCATTGAAGGTTTTGCATTCATTAAAATACTAGTATATCTTAGAAGTCGTGTTGACCTCTTTTGTTCCTAATACCAGATTTGAATTGACGCAACTTAACACCCCAAATATTTATCACAGTTGTTTACATTCACCCTAAGGCCAATGCGAAGAATGCTGCTGATATTATTTATACTGTGACACAGAAACTGCAATCTGTGTCTCCCGATGCCCCCAATATTATTTTAGTAGATTTTAATCACTGTAACATGAAGAAAACTCTGAATAACATCTATCAATATGTCACCTGCCCAACACGCCTCAACAAGACCCTGGATCTATGTTATGGCTCCATCAGAGGGGTATACAAGTCTATAGCAAGAGCCCTGCTCGGTTCATCTGACCACAACACAGTGCATGTTCTGCCTCTCTACAGGACTGTGCTGAAGAGGGAGAAAGCGCATCAGCGGGAAGTGAAGGTTTGGACCAGTGAAAGCAATCTGGCGTTGCAGGGCTGTTTTGACTGCACAGATTGGGCTGTGTTCTAGTGACAATATAGATTAAATCACTGATGTGGTGTGCAGTTATATCTCCTTCTGTGAAAATACAGTGATCCCTAGCAAAAATGTAATTATTTATCCCAACAACAAGCCTTGAGTTACCAAGTCATTGAAGGGCTTATTGTGTAAAAAGAATACTGCTTTCTATGAGGGCAATGCGACTGCTAAAAGGGAATCTAGAATTGAGGTGAGATCAGAAATCAAGAAGGCCAAACTGAAATATAAGGAGAAGATTGAGGGTGAACTGAGTAGCAGCAATCTTAGGGCTGCCTGGAATGGAATGAGAACTATGGTTGGGCTACAAGACAAGGGAAACAAGCTGATACAGGTTGAGGTTTTAACTCAAACAAAGAACTGGCTGATGAACTAAATGGTTTTTATATTTTTTAGATTTGAAAATCAGAACTTTAGTGGAGAAATTACTGAAATGCGTATGAGGACAATTGCTACTACCAAAATGGAATTTAGCATCCAGAGTGTCAACAGCCTATTCAGACAGACCAAAGTTAAAAAGAGCCCAGGACCAGACAACATTGGTGGACAGGTAATTAAGTAATGTGCAGAACAACTCAGTGGCATTTTTCATCACATTTTCATGCTGTCACTCGAGCTGCAGAAGGTGCCTAAACTCTGGAAGCATGCTACTGTTGTTCCCGTGTTAAAAATCAAATCCCCCAAGGTGCTAAATGACTTTAGGCCAGTGGCACTGACATTCTTGGTGATGAAATCATTTGAGAAGCTAATCAAGAAGGATGTACTGCGTCAGGTTGAGAATTTCCTGGTCCCCCTGCTGTTTGCTTACAGGGCCAAGCGGGGGGTGGAGGACACCACTCTAACTCTACTCAACTTCCTCTACAAGCACCTGGAGGGCCCAAAAACCCATGCGAGGCTTCTGTTCATCGACTTCTCGTCGGCCTTCAATACTATCCAGCCTCACATACTAGCAGATAAGCTCCTCTCCCACTTCAAGCTGGACATGAGCATTGTAGGCTGGATAGTGGACTTCCTTACCGACTGGTCCCAACATGTGCAAGTAAATGGCGTCATGTCAAAGCAGCTCTGCTCCTCCACCGGATCCCACAATGTTGGTTCTCTCTCCTCTCTTCTTCCACCGGATCCCCACACGGTTGTCACTCTCTCCAGCTCTGCTTCCTCCAACTGAATGTCTCTAAAACTAAAGATATGGCCATTGACTCTAGAAGGCAGCCACTGAACCCCACACCCACTGTGGTCATGGGAAATGACATTGAGCCAGTCAGTACCTACAAGTACCTGGGAACAGTGCTGGACAACAAGTTGACGTTTGAGGAGAACACAGATGCCATCTGTAAAAAGGGACAGAAGCGGATTTTTGTTGTTGAGAAAGATTAACTATTTTAATGTCAGCAAGACAATGATGACACTGTTTTACAGTAGTTTTACTGACTCCGTATTGATGTTCTCGATGGTAGCCTGGTTTGGCAATCTTAATGTTTGCAACAGAAATAGGTTGGACAGGGTGGTTCAGGTGGCCAGCAAGGTAATCGGGGTGCAACAGGCACAGCTCTCAGTGACATTCAGAAAGCAAGTGGTGAGGAGAGCTAACAGTATCTTAGACTGTCCTGATCACCCCCTCCTCGATGATTTTGCGCTTCTCCCCTCAGGTCGTCGTTTTAGACTTCCCAAACTCAATAGCAACAGATACAATAATTATTTTATCCCACAGGCCATACACTTTCTGAATCTGCACATGAAATGAAATGTCTATTTATTGCTGCACTTTTGCACAATGATTGCTTATCGATCTCATTGTTTCATTACATTTACATTTACGTCATTTCATGTTGTGTATATCGGTTGTATGGTTGTCACTGTTTTTAATGTTGTTGTTTTTTATTGTTGAACCCTGACTGCACAACACATTTCCCAATTGGGACATTAAAGATAACTTGATATTGAACCCTGAATGCTAATTGGTTAAAACTGCATTCCATCCGGTCTATTCCACAAGTTACCACTGGCTAAATCTATGATGTTAAAATACCTCGACTTTGTCTCGGGCCTAACAACACCTGTGCCAATATATCCTACAAACACCGGCATCTCGGGCATTTTCACTTAATTAAAACTCTAAACAATCACAATACAGTAACTATTTGTCACTTTATTATATGTGCCATTTAGCAGACGCTTTTATCCAAAGTGACTTACAGTCATGTGTGCATACATTCTTACGTATGGGTGGTCCCGGGGATTGAACCCACTACCCTGGCATTACAAGCGCCATGCTCTACCAATTGAGCTACAGAGGACCATTATATAATTGTGTCATTTATTAATGATGATATTAATGATAAACTTATTTTTTTACTGCACGATAGAGTTGTAGGCCTAGTTATCTTACAATGTATTTTTACACATTTACAGACTGTGTGTGTGTGTGAGTTCGAGAGTGTGCATGTTGTTGGACTTTTTCCTTGTCAGCCACTCATCTCTGCTTTTCTGCTTCATAAAAAGCTGAGGTCTGGAATTTCCTCCAGGTCATCTCTCTCTCCATTCCCTGGCCTTGGTTGCCTGACGACTCAACCTGAATGTAATTCCGCTGCTCTATCGATCGCTACATACATTGTGGAGAACAAACGGCAGTTTGACTGGAGTGATGTGGATGGGTAGCCAGGGAATGGACTTGGTACATAAAAAAACTTTTGCAGAACAATTTTGCCTGTCACCCTTGGGAACCCTGTACATATGTGAGTGCTGTTGGGGCCCTGTTTCAGCTCCAGATGACAAAACCTACACACTCCCAGAGGGTTGCAGGTCTGCAGACTTCCTTTTGGTCACTCATTTTAATCAGAGAAATGTCCAATAAACCAAAGACGTTGCGTTAACTGTGAATGTACTTTATTGCACACATAAAGCATGCATAAAATAAACATTATAATTTATTTACATTGGGTCTAATGTGTGTGTGTGAGAGAGAGAGAGAGAGAGAGAGAGGGAGGCATGTTTTTAAACTCAGAAAAAGCACACAGAATTTCCTCAAACTGTACACATTAAGCAATACTGTTTTACAATATTATCAATCACACTTTGATTTGATAGATATTTAGAGTTATAGAGTAATTATGTAGATATTGATCATGGATATGTAGGCATAGATATTTCCAATCCTAAAATAAAATGGAGCATACATTAAATAAACAAGTAAATACAATGTATTTACATTTGGGATAATGTGTGTGTGTGACAGAGAGCGAGAGAGAGACAGAGAGTGTTTTTTATTTTTCTTTGTCAGCCACCCATCTCTGCTTTGTCAGTCTTGATAGGACCGTTGCATGCACTTCTGGGTGAGGCTGTCAGGGGCCGTGGTGGAGAGCATGGCATATTTGAAAGAGAGATCCACAAAGAGACAGTAAGTATACAGCTTAACAACATGTTTGTGTGTGCATGTCTGTTGGTGTGAGTGAGCGTATGTGTATGTAATATAATTCTGAATTACCTGTATCCATCTGGGAATCCTCAAAAGTTTCTCTCTTCATGGCCAGTGCAGGAGGAACTAGTGCAGCCGGTAAATTAAATACCACAGCAGAGGACTGCTGTGACTGCAGCTGAACTGCTGGGGATGGCAGATCTAAAGGAGAGAGGCACATTTTTCTTAACTGACAATAATCATACAGAGTGAATGAGTGTAAGGTCTGGATTCAATCAGATCAAGCGTTAACCGGCGATAGCCGACACCCGTATAGCTGATGTTTTAGCGATGTCGGAGGTGTAACTGTAAACAGGGCTGCATGAGATTTCAGTTAATGTGACTCCGTGCAGCCAATGGCAATGTCTGCTTTAGGTACAATGCCAGGAGCCATTTGTGGATTTGAGAGCTCTAACACAGTTCCACCTTAGACACTGCCAAAACAACTGCTATGCGGATGTCGGCTAAAGCGGATATGATTGAATAGAGCCCCAAGTGAGTCAGAGTATGCATGTGTCTATACATGTATGTGGTAATTACCTGTATCACCTGTCGCAGCCAGTGTAGCAGGTGCGGGGGCAGAAGACTGCAGCTGTGAGGGCTGTGGTTGAGCTGATAAGGGTGTAAGATCTAAAAGAGAGACGCACAATTTTCTTAAGTGAAAATAATTATACAACAAAACCGAGTGAGTGACTGAGTGAGTGTGAGCATGTGTATACGTGTGTGTGATAATTACCTGGACCACATCACACTGCTTCAGGTCTGCAAGCCTCTGGAAGTTCCAGCGTGCCACTGCAGGCCTGAACAGCTTGGTGGAAACACGGTTACCTGTCACCCACCGAGCCTGGTTGGCAGATCTGAAAGATATGTGTGTGTGTGTGTGTGTGTTATTGTGACTCAGAAGTATGTCAACCTGACCACATCCTTATAGTAGGACATTCAGTAATTAGCTTTGGAAACAATCACTATCAACAGTGTATAGTAAAAAGAATATCAAACATTCAGATCTGGATTGACAAGTAGGCTAAATCTTGTGAAGTTACAAAACCTCTAGGGATTAGTCTACAATCAAGTTGAATAAAGGATACAGGGCCTGAGCCCTAGGACCACGCTTCAGGACTACCTGGCCTGACGACTCCTGGCTATCCCTGTCCCCAGTCCACCTGGCCGTGCTGCTGATCCAGTCTCTGTGGTTTCTGCCTGCGGCTATGGAACCCTGAACTGCTCAGGGTTCACCGGACATGGTACCTTGTCCCAGACCTGCTGTTTGATCCTCTCTCTCTACCGGACGAGCTGTCTCAACCTCTAAAGGCTCGGCTATGAAAAGCCAACTGGCATTTACTCCTGAGGTGCTGAACTATTGCACCCTCTATAACCACTGTGATTATCATTTGACCCTGCTGGTCATCTATGAACGTTTAAACGTCTTGAAGAACGATCTGGCCTAAATGGCTGTACTATTTTATAATCTCCACTGGCACAGCCAGGAGAGGACTGGCCACCCCTCGGAGCCTGGCTCCTCTAGGTTTCTTCCTAGGTTCCTGCCTTTCTAGGGAGTTTTTCCATAGCCACTGTGCTTCTACATCTTCATTGCTTGCTCTTTGGTGTTTTAGGCTGGGTATCTGTATAAGCACTTTGTGACAACCGCTGATGTAAAAGGGGCTTTATAAAATACATTTGATTGATTGACTGATTGATTACCTGTATATGCTTCTATTCATGTCAGTAACTCTAAATCTAAATATGACCTTGAGTTATCTTAAATATCCTCAATAGGAAGTTGTACCTTAAGCCAACACTTTTTCCTGGTATTTCCTGCTGGGGATTGGGGGCTTCATGTGTAGGAATGGAGGACCTAGATAATTGGAATATTAACAGTAATTAGTGCCCACATTTATGAATGAAATTCAATTTGTGTCTCTCATCTGATTGAGAATTGCTGATGATATGTCTACTTTCATTTGAAAATCTGCCACTGAACATCACAATTCTATAAAGTGAGAGTGCACACAACCTTTAGCTTATTTTACCAGGTCAACAATAACATCATTTTTTCAAAGGAGACCTGGCAAAGATGTCAGAGCTCTCAAGTAAAAGGCATATCCATAACAGCAGCTATGGTATGGATAAAGACAATGTGACACTACCACAGCTGCATGAATGTGTGATCTCCCTATAATGTTGGTTAATTTAAAAAAATTTCCAGATCCAACGAAAAACAGAACAGTAGTATAAAGGATAATATTGGTGTATTGTAGCCTACTCTACTGTTATCATTTATTAATGTTGTACTGTAGCCTACTGTACCCCATATCAACCAACTTGCCGACTAGTAGTGACAAGGCTATATTGTTGTCATTCAGTAATGCTGTAACGGTACTGTAGCCTACTGTACACCACCTAACCACCTAGCTAGCTACTGATAGCTTAGCTATCTAGCAAGCTACAAATAAACAACCAATGACATCAACAGGCTTTTTAACTAAACATCTAGCTAGCTAGTATGATCGCATGTAAAACAATTTTATAGATTATTATGAAGTTCGAAAGTAAAGTTGAATTACCGGTCTGCTGTTCTTGGGAACTAGATGGAGGCATCCACATTACCAGGCAAGCTACGGCACAGATGGCTTTGGGACACAACATCGGGAGGTTGTGTATTGGTTGGACTCGCATAACATATTCCACACTGTCCTCCACCGTTGGTTTGATTGGTAAGACATGTGTTACTAGCCAGCGTTAGTGTTAACTTAGTAACGTTAGGGAAAGGTCTATTACATGCTAGCTAGGGGGTTATGGTACCTAATGTTAGCCTAGCGTAGCAATCCAGCTATCACGCACTTACTTTACACATTCATTGTCGACAATGTAAAAGATGGAACACAACTTCACGACTGAGAACGAATTCAAAATATTTGCAAATTCCAAAATATTCCCATATTATTTTGCTCTCCCAAAAGCAACACAGATATATACAGTGGGGGAAAAAAGTATTTAGTCAGCCACCAATTGTGCAAGTTCTCCCACTTAAAAAGATGAGGGAGGTCTGTAATTTTCATCATAGGTACATGTCAACTATGACAGACAAAATGAGATTTTTTTTCTCCAGAAAATCACATTATAGGATTTTTAATGAATTTATTTACAAATGATGGTGGAAAATAAGTATTTGGTCACCTACAAACAAGCAAGATTTAAGGCTCTCACAGACCTATAACTTCTTCTTTAAGAGGCTCCTCTGTCCTCCACTCGTTACCTGTATTAATGGCACCTGTTTGAACTTGTTATCAGTATAAAAGACACCTGTCCACAACCTCAAACAGTCACACTCCAAACTCCACTATAGCCAAGACCAAAGAGCTGTCAAATGACACCAGAAACAAAATTGTAGACCTGCACCAGGCTGAGAAGACTGAATCTGCAATAGGTAAGTAGCTTGGTTTGAAGAAATCAACTGTGGGAGCAATTATTAGGAAATGGAAGACATACAAGACCACTGATAATCTCGCTCGATCTGGGGCTCCACGCAAGATCTCACCCCGTGGGGTCAAAATGATCACAAGAATGGTGAGCAAAAATCCCAGAACCACACGGGGGGACCTAGTGAATGACCTGCAGAGAGCTGGGACCAAAGTAACAAAGCCTACCATCAGTAACACACAACGCCGCCAGGGACTCAAATCCTGCAGTGCCAGACGTGTCCCCCTGCTTAAGCCAGTACATGGCCAGGCCCGTCTGAAGTTTGCTAGAGTGCATTTGGATGATCCAGAAGAGGATTGGGAGAATGTCATATGGTCAGATGAAACCTAAATATAACTTTTTGGTAAAAACTCAACTCGTCGTGTTTGGAGGACAAAGAATGCTGAGTTGCATCCAAAGAACACCATACCTACTGTGAAGCATGGGGGTGGAAACATCATGCTTTGGGGCTGTTTTTCTGCAAAGGGACCAGGACGACTGATCCGTGTAAAGGAAAGAATGAATGGGGCCATGTATCGTGAGATTTTGAGTGAAAACCTCCTTCCATCAGCAAGGGCATTGAAGATGAAACGTGGCTGGGTCTTTCAGCATGACAATGATCTCAAACACACCGCAACGAAGGAGTGGCTTCGTAAGAAGCATTTCAAGGTCCTGGAGTGGCCTAGCCAGTCTCCAGATCTCAACCCCATAGAAAATATTTGGAGGGAGTTGAAAGTCCGTGTTGCCCAGCGACAGCCCCAAAACATCACTGCTCTAGAGGAGATCTGCATGGAGGAATGGGCCAAAATACCAGCAACAGTGTGTGAAAACCTTTTGAAGACTTGCAGAAAACGTTTGACCTGTGTCATTGCCAACAAAGGGTATATAACAAAGTATTGAGAAACTTTTGTTATTGACCAAATACTTATTTTCCACCATAATTTGCAAATGAATTCATAAAAAATCCTACAATGTGATTTTCTGGATTTCTTTTTCTCAATTTGTCTGTCATAGTTGACGTGTACCTATGATGAAAATGACAGGCCTCTCTCAACTTTTTAAGTGGGAGAACTTGCACAATTGGTGGCTGACTAAATACTTTTTTCCCCCACTGTAGCTAACTGTAAAGTAATGAGTGACCATTTTAGAAAATCATGGGACATATAGTCTTTGGTTGCTTGCTATTTTATGTCAATCATATTGTTGCTATAGCCTATAACTGATTATTTGTGGTCTTATGCTGCCATCTATTGGAAATATTAATTAATTAAAAGTTATTAATTCACATAAAGACATTGGTGAGGCAGCTGAGAAATGAAGTGTATTTTTCTTATTTAATTCCTGAGATCAGTCTCAAACCTGCCCCACCTATCGCAACCAATTGCTGGGCTTTCAAATTGAGGTTCTAAAAGTGTTCTAGGCTACCCTACCCAAGAATTACGGTTAGGGTTAAGGCTAAAATAGGTTATACCTATTGTTAGGGGTTAGGGCTAAAACAGTGTAGCGACCCGCACAGACAGCTGTGTGTTATGTGTTATGCTGTTCGTTGGTTGTGTTGTACTTACCAGTACCCAGTGTTCACAGGGTCCGACATGCCAGTCAACCTGCTATCTGCCAACCACGGGAATGCCTGGAATGTTCTGGTGCCGGGCATCCTGGTGGTTGGTGGAGCGGCAGGGGGGTGGCGGGGTTGGAGCATTGCATGTTTGAGACCATGCTTAGCCATTGTTCTCTCTCTTACATCTGGTCTTAACAACCCCCCCCATACATCTGTATGTGACTTTTCCCCAGCCCCTCTGTCACCTACGGCTGTGTGTTACATTCCCCTAGCTACCTCCACGACACATCCTTCCATGAGCCCGGGCCACACCCCCCCAGCCCAGCTACCCCAGATGGGAGAGGAGAGGACACTGTCTGCAGTGAGGGAGATATAGGAGAGGAACTGTGTTGGTCTTCACCCCGAGCAGCAGGAACGGTTGTGGCAGTTGCTGTTTGAATTCAGAGACAGCTTTGCATGAGTGAGGAAGAGGTGGGTCAGACTCATCTGGTGCAGCATGAGATCGACACAGGTGATCCTCGGCCCATCAAGATGTGTCCCCGCAGTATTCTGCTGGCATGCCAGGAGGCGGCAGACAAGGCTGTGTTGGAGATGCAGCGGGCAGACTTCATCTATCCCTCAGACAGCCCCTGGGCGGCACCAGTCATCATTGTTCCTAAGAAGGGGGGCAAGCTGAGGTTCTGTGCAGACCACAGGCGGCTGAATGAGGTAACCAGGAAGGACTCATGCCCCATACGATTAGTCGCTGGACCTGGTTAGGGGGTCCTCCTGGTTCTCCTCACTAGACCTCTGCAGTGGCTACTGGCAGGTGCCCCTCTCCCCAGAGGCCAGAGCCAAAA